CCCTCGCAAGGGAGCCACATCTCCATCCATAGAGAAGACCCCATCTGTCACTACCAGACGCATACGAGACGACTGAGGACAACAGAGAGCGCAGGTGATCGGTGTGTGACCTCCTCTGAGTAAGCTGTCATTTTTCACTCTCTTCTAACACACTGCAAGGAGAGTTGGATCAAGAAGGAATGTTTTACTCCATGCACCTGAGCTTCTTTGAGTTTGGTTTCCAGGTCACCGAGGTCCATGTGTTTGTACCGCAGCCTCTTTGCTCGACACAGGCGAATGCCATCGATGATTGAGGCGTGGTTTAGCTCGTCAGAGAGCACTGCGTCATCTGGGCCCAGCAGCACCTGTTGTGAGAATAATTCAGAGTTATACTGATCGTAACGGGGGAAGTCCTTAGCTTCAAATCTATTTGGACCTACCTCAAAAAGTCCCGCATTGGCATCGAAACAGCTGGCGTAGAGGATGCAGTCCTCTCTCTCGTGGAACTCAGCGAGCTTCTGCTCTAGCTTTTTGTGGAGATCCTGTAAATCACGCATTACGCAAAATTAACCTCATGAATTAGACAGCTTTGGGGTGATATGCGTGATCTTTAAGCACCAGACCTGCGTCCCACAGATGAACCTGACAGAGCTCAGTCCAGCACCGTGTGTCTTCAGAGCATCGATTCCTGCCTGGACCACTTCTGGATGACTGGACAGCCCGAGGTAGTTGTTGGCGCAGAAGTTCAGTATACCTGAGAGAATTTTGGATGCACAAAAGGAAAATTAAGGTTAAAAAAGAGAGAGTCACTGTCCCATAATAACCTCTTTGAGCATGTCAAAGCTGGGAGTAGAAGTTCTGCTTGTAGTTTTAGGCTACAGACGAGACAAGAGAGAGAAGACAAAGAGTGACAGAGAAAACAATGCATGGGACTGTGGCACTGTTGGGCACATGAAATGAACGGGGTCGTTTTGGTGCACGAGGGGTCACGACCTAAAGTCTGTGGCCCATTCATAAATCAGCAGAGTCAATCTCTGGCAAGGGTTCATGCTGAAATATAAACAGTGATCGGCTGCTTTGCTGGAACAATAGCAAATAAAGCAGAGATTAACTGGTGCAGTGCAGTTAAATGCTAGAGCCTTCACAAGTCAAACAATGAACTTTGCATTGTACAAAGCACAAAACAGCTTTCTGTTGATGATATAAAGACCACTTTACAAAATTATTTTGAATTATTTAAAGCTTGAATCTCATACTTTTGCTGTTACGAGTTCTTGGTTAATGTTTTTCCAAAGGCTGCGCCGAGAATAGCTTCAGAAGTGCAAAACAAGGGAGTAGCAGGGATTACTTCAAGTTCACCGCTGAGATGAGATAAGAACGTGGCAGAACTGAAACCTTACCTGGGACGGTGCGTTTAAGGACCATCACCGAGGAGGGTGCTACTGCTCACTTATAAAACTGCTGTAACTGGAAACTCCTAGTACTCACTGCCACGACTGCCGTCCACGCTGATCTCAGGACCCTGCTTGGAGGTGATGATCCTCTCCGCTTTCCACGTCCCCGCGGCTCGGATCGTCTCCAGCTCGTGTTCCAGCACCGCCCGGGCTTCAGCGGCAGCGGTGTAGCTGCGGCTCAGGCCCGAACACCGCAGAGCCCCCCGGAGCGGGCTCACCAAACTGCGGGCAGCTTTTCCGAGAGACATAGCGGTGAACTCGTTATGCTGTTAAAGATATATGAACCGTGGCACAGAAAGGCTCAATGTAAAGAGCAAGCATGGTTGCGTCACGTAACAAGGGTAGGCGTCTGTCTGGAAGACCAATCAGAGCGCAGGGCCGCTGGCAGGTGGCTTGTTTGGGCCAATCGCATTGCAGACAGTTTTTTTTAACTGGCTGATATCCACTTTGGTAGTTCACAGTCTGATGCCTAATATAAACTATAACAACATTTTACTCCTTTTAGTCACGTTTCATACGTTCCAAATACTTTGTACACCACAGGAAGTACTTTGCGTTTTAAATATAGTACACATTTACAGCAAAAAAAATGTGACAATACAGTATGTTACAACTAGAAAAAAACATTGCTTGTTTTTGAGTGTCGGTACCGAGATCGAGATAACACACACACACACACACACACACACACACACACACACACACACATACATTTATTTCAGTGTGTTGAAAGTGCCCTCAGTATCCAGACTGAATACACATCAAGCTAAAACACAAACAATAAATGAACTATGCATGTGTTTTTTAAATAAAAATGTACTATTCCTTTGCCACCATTAAGTATTTTTTTATAATCTGTGATAGTACTATATGGGTACCCAGCTGTCACCAGCCTCACATCCAGCCCAGGTGGACACTGAAGTAGAGCGGCTTCTCTAGCAATCGATGGGTTGCTTCTTGGCTCCGGCAGTCTGGATGTCAAAGTATCCTTGTGCAAGATTTCAAGCCCTGAGTTGCCCGTGATGCGCCCATCTGAGTTTGAACATGTGTATGAATGAATGTATGTGCGAGATGCTTTGAGTACTTGGGTAGAGCAGACCAGTCCATTTACCATTTACTATCAAAATTAGAAGAGACAGCCTGTGGCAATATAGAAGGACAGGACCAGTCTTTGCAAATTTGTAAATAATGTGTTCTTATGCCTCCATTTTTTTTTTTTTTTTGGTAATGGCAAGAAAAAGTCTATAAACATATTTAAAAAAAGACAGACTGCAAACACACAAATCTCCAGTTAATACTTTTAGTTTAATATGACAGCAGTGTGTCATCACTTGTTGTTAAACTTCAAGTAAAACATCTTCATAGGGACAAGCTGAATGTGAAAAAAACTCATACATTTTCTTCAGCATCCGACATCAACAACGACATAAAGCCTCAAACTATTACCACAAGTTATGGCTGAGCTTCTCTTACAAGTGTTTGCTACTTTGACAGGGGCATTTCTGTACCTCATCATCATCTTTAACAATATATATATATATATATGTATATATAACAGCAATATAGTACATCATCTATGTTGCAAAATTTGTAACAATATTCTCATTTAACAGCAGGAATGTAACCATAAAAAAATGTGCAAATGTTTGCTTGTGGATCAACCCTCGTAACAACGTCAAGTAAAAACTTCGGTCTTTCCGCAGACATTAGTTTTAAGTTAAAAAACACATTTGCTCCCCCCAGCAAAAGAGCAGGGTACACATATACAATGTCATTTGCCATTCAACTGTTCATTAATAAGAAATCTCTATTATCCAGCAGGTGGCGCCGGAGCTTCATGAGTAATGTTAGTTTTGGCAGGTTTAGGTGAGACTTTAAGACTCTGAGTTGTCTTGCGAGGAAGCTCTCAGGGACGGCAGACGCTCGGCCGCTTTTGCTCTCTCTGCCAGAAACCTGTCGAACTCTGGGGAGGCAAGCAGGAGTCACTTTAACAGACATCTATAGGAAAGTTCCTGCACTGAGTAAACAAAGCCACAACTTTGGAGTCAAAGTGAGCTGTGACCAGACATGTGAGTGCTTTATGTTTCATTTTTAGTCCTTGAAGTAGTAAACATTTGGGGGTAAAAACAAAAGTCCTTCTAACCTCCTTGGTTACCTTGGTAGAGGTAACACGGGGAGCTATTTACCAAGCATTAAAGAAGCTCACTGCAGTTCACCAGTGGCTCAAATATTTTAGCAGCAATCTGAATGGACAATAGGTTTTGTCTATAGCTTCAGCACAGACTGCATATAAAAGATGGATAAAGCTACCAAAAAAAGAAAACAAAAAACAATCCCATTTTCATGCCTTAACCTGAGAATTTTAGCTGTTGCAATGAATGTAGAGTGGATTTGACTGAAAAAACAAGGATATATTGATAGTAGTGAGCTGTCAATCAAAGCCAGCCATGATCAAATGCCGTGTTCCAGATACACTGGAATATCTAGGCATGTGTTGGAACTCACGAGCGATGTCAATCCCGAGTTAGCACATTCCAGAAAGAGCAATGAAAGAGAATATTGGTTCCTAGCAAGGTAGAGACCTTCAGGTATCACTAGCTATACAGCCTTTCAGAAAACACATTCAGTGATGCAATCTGATCAGCGCTCTGCTATGGCTCATTTAATGAGTAACAAGTACACAACATTTGCAGTACAGATCAAATATTTAGAGTTTTACTACTGTTTAAATTCAGCGCTGCTATCTTGGATTTCTAACTATGGGTATGTTGGTCCACTCTGACTTGAGGGAGTGTTCCACTTAAAATTCATAATTTCCAACTTATTCAGGAACGCAGTCTGAAGCATACATACCATGCCATGTTGAAACTGAATTTAAAAGAGTGACCAAGATCATAGGTTCAGACTTCTGTTTGAAAGCAGACACTGCCACCTGCTGGCCATTTGACAAAGGCAACGCTTCCATATAGACTATCTCCATTGTTTTATATACAAGAGGGTGTGTATTTCACTGCAAATATTCCATTTAATACATCACATACAAGGTCTTAAATAATCAGGCCCCATCTTATCTCAATGACCTTGTAGTACCATATCACCCTATTAGAGCACTTCGCTCTTGCTCTGCAGGCCTACTTGTTGTTCCTAGAGTATTTAAAAGTAGAATGGGAGGGAGAGCCTTCAGTTTTCAGGCCCCTCTTCTATGGAACCAGCTTCCAGTTTGGATTCGGGAGACAGACACTATCTCTACTTTTAAGATTAGGCTTAAAACTTTCCTTTTTGCTAAAGCATATAGTTAGGGCTGGACCAGGTGACCCTGAATCCTCCCTTAGTTATGCTGCAATAGACATAGGCTGCCGGGGGATTCCCATGATGCATTGAGTTTTTCCTTTCCAGTCACCTTTCTCACTCACTATGTATTAACAGACCTCTCTGCATTAAATCATATCTGTTATTAACCTCTGTCTCTCTTCCACAGCATGTCTTTTATCCTGTCTTCCTTCTCTCACCCCAACCGGTCGCAGCAGATGGCCGCCCCTCCCTGAGCCTGGTTCTGCCGGAGGTTTCTTCCTGTTAAAAGGGAGTTTTTCCTTCCCACTGTTGCCAAAGTGCTTGCTCATAGGGGGTCATATGATTGTTGGGTTTTTTTCTCTGTATCTATGAAGCACCTTGAGGCGACTTATGTTGTGATTTGGCGCTATATAAATAAAATTGAATTGAATTGAATTGAATTGAATTAATATAACCAAAGAAAGTTTTCTGTTTAAGAGTGTGTGCCCCATGTATTAACTTAGTTATAAAATCTGCTCCTTTGGAACAGGACATATGGGTAAGGATCCTCACCTTCACTGGTCACACCATCGGAGTCCTCAAAGTCATCATACTGTGTCATAAACACAAAATAAGTATATTTGATTATCCTTTAAGATAACTGTGTACCAAATTTCAAATTAAACCCACCCGCTTAGTCCTTTCTTTTTATAGTCAGTCACCTTTATGTAGCTATATCTAAACATTTCTAATACCTTGGATTGGTATCTGCAAAGTCCACCAACATCTTTTCTTTTTTAAACTTTTAAATACGGCAAAGTAGATTCGATGAATGAATATCATTCCCAGTTCAGACTTACCTCATCATCCAAAGCAAGCCATTTCTCAATATCATCCATTACACTGGACTGGGTGATAGGAATCTAAGAAAGAAAGAAGAGACACAGATTGGCTACATGGATAAAACTTCATCAAGGTTGACAAAGCTACGAAGCCATGAAAACAAAAACGAAAGTCAACCGCAAAAACAACAACAAAGAAAAATCACATGTGGCTAAACATAGCATTCAGTGAGGAAGACTTCGGGTGTGACAACAATGCAGCATATCAAAAGTGCAAACCGAACAGTGTCATGCTCTTACGACGCCACAACTGGTCATGCAAACCTTTGTGCTCTATTTCAGTAACTGAACCACCAAAGCCAAAAAGTGACCCAACCCAGACCACAGCAAAGTAAATCAAAACTGTATGAAAAGAACCAAAAGACAGAGGGTATGAAAAGGTGAAACCAACGTAAAGCCAGGGCACGTTTTAAAATTCACACCCACCATTCCCCTTTTAATCATCCAATCTAACTTTGGTGAAGAGCTGCGAGTGGAAGCTGGACTGCCATCCTTCACGTACAGACAGATTTCATTCAGGAGGAAAACAGTTACTCAAACAAAGTAACACACACTCAGGCCTGTAGCTCAGATATTATGTACGGCACTTGGTGCTCTGTCATATACAAAAAAACCCAGGATTTCACGTATGCTTGCTGTTTAAAATAGATTTAACAATATCATAACTGAATTTACGTTTGGTCCTAAAGGTCATGTCACAGCTAAGTAAAAGAAAAAATCAGTTATAGTAGCCGATAAATCGAAACCTTGCAAGCAGTATAGACATCTTTGCTTACAGGTTCAGTGTTTTGTAGTTTGCTGTCCTGAGCTTGAGCAAGACCGTCCACCACAACTCCGCTCCCGTCTCTGAAAGGCAAAAATTACTAATAGGTTAACTGCAACGTAATCTAGTAACCGATATTACTTTTAACAAAGTTAAATGTTGGCTCATGTGTTCAGGAACAAATGAAAAGAAAGACTGGGAACTGTCACCACAAAACAATTCTATTAAATCACCGTAATTTACTTGAATAGTCACAAAAAATTAATTTTAAAACCTATTTTCACATTTATTTGTTCATATAAGGGCAAGGGTGGTTACTTCAAGTTGTAAAAAGCCAAATTGTTTAACCACCTTTAGCTAGCTATTTTAATGTTTATAACTTTTTGTCACAGTTCTGGATCATTTTGAGTTGCTTGTGTTTTGGTATTATTC